GAGTAGGCCTACATTTAGTATTCATAGTTGGTCTTGTTTTAAAACAACGATTCACATAATTATAAACACATTTAGAACCTTAAATCCCAGAAATTACATCTTTCTTAATACTGCTATGTTTATTTGATCTATGATAAAGATCCAGATTCCTCTCTCCTTCCTTTGTGTTACATACAAAACATTAATTGTTGAAACGAAGTGAAGATTATTAATTGTTTTATATCTGAATTTTGCAAAAGGAAAAAAAACAGCAATTATCAAAGTTGACTAGATTTACAAATGCTACCAATAGCGTCTGTGAACACAAACATATAGTTTTCCATCACAAATAGATGTAGTTTCAATGTCTAAACGTTTTGGGTGTGACAACTTATGACCGTACATGTTCTGGAAAAAGAGAAGGTTTAAGAGTCTTAACATTATATTAAAGAAAGGGTTCAGTATTTGACTGAGCATACTTGACTCTACAGTAATACTGACGCATACGTCTGCTTAAAAAAAACCACCGGGTTTCCCCTCCATTATAGTGACGTAATTAACATCCAGAACTTTCGTCATCTCACCATTCTTATGTGCCGCGTCCTATTTCTATTTCATCATTATTTCAAAACTCGTGCCAGAGAGCCAAATTAAATTTTGCTTACTTCATTTGCCTTTGGTTTTCTGTTTCCTGCTTTTCCTCTTTGTATAGCCTGCCGTTTACTTCTGTTTTTCAACGAACACTCCCTTAAGTTGCATTTGAGACATTGTAAACGCGCCTTGCAGTGGCGCATCATCTGGAGTGGAGGAGGACTTGTTCTGAATTGGGTGGCTAGCCCCAACCCCCACCCCCCCCCACGGGCCTTTGGATCACTGTGAAAAAATGGCCACTCCTCTTATGTGTGTGCTTCTCGTATGTACATACGTGTAGGAAGCTACTCTGGTAAAACATACACTTTCTAATTTAACCTAGCTTAACTTGTTTTCAGATGCCATCGAAGAACGTCAGCCGTCTACTAATTCAAAAAAGAATCCTCATGGGAGGGGACACCCGCCCCGGAAAACCAATCCACACCATGCTCGGTGCTTCTGTCCGTCCCATTATCTACCCCCATTGCTAAATCCTGAATCCGCCACTGCCTTATAGGACTATTATATAACTTGAAGTTTGGATTGGACTGGATTTAATAAAAGCGGCAAAATAGAAATAATGATTTTTGTTTTAATATAATAATTAATTAGGCTAGAATCTCAATGTGTTGATGTCTGGTCAAAATTAATTAAATATAATACTTTATTCAGGCCAGACATCGGAACATCTGAATAGACCTATCTAATAGACAATTTATAGTGTTAATTTGAGTAAAACACTAATTAAAATTCTTTAAATGAGGGTTCAGTAATAAAATGACTCTACAACTTTCTTTCTAAAAAAAAAAAATGAAGAAATATACATGTTTTGTTCGCGATATGCATTTGAAAGAAGTTGGTAATTCGTTAGCTTACAATATTTTGTAATTGCTGACGTAATCGTTTTCAGTTCAGTCATAATATTATTGGTCCAATGTTGCATAACATCAGAGTAATGTGACCCGATTACTGCTTCACGTTGCAGCAGCGCATCATCTCGCCTCTAATTTCTTTCATGACCAATCAATTGAAATAATCTCGTATGATTTATATAGGGCAAATCAATATGAAATTAACACCAAAACGTAACCATGATGAAATATCAGTTAAGACGATCAAACATTCACAAATATTACCGGTACTACTGTACCGGTAATCTTGAAGAGGGTAATTTAGGTCATGGGCATAATGATTTCTGAAATTAACGAAGAGGACTTTCAATCAGTTGTTGTTTTAAAGATGTATTGTCCCCTGAAAATGACAAAAATTCATTTAAAAAATAATTTATAAATTAACTTGCTCATTTTGCAGTAAGGTACAAAATTATTAACTTGAGCATAACAATTATTGAATAAAAAAATGTGTTCCCCGATTTTTATACTGGATAATAATAATGAAAATAACACTTCCATTGACTGGAAGTGTTTCAATCATTTTTTTTTTTGTTTAATCATTATGGGTAAACATTTTGTTTTAATGCTCCAAATTCTATGTTCAAGGATAATTCTTATGCACTTCAAAATGAGCAAGTTAACTTAAAAGTTGATTTTTATGTTTTTTGTTTTGTTTTGTTTTGTTTTGTTTTTTGTTTTTGTTTGTTTGTTTTTGTTTTTTTTTTTGTATTTTGCATGGGACAATACATCTTTTAACTACGGTTTATAAGAATAAAATGTTAAAAATTGTGTGTACTGTATTTCAGTGGTTGACTAATTGGTAGTTCCATTGGTTCTTCCAATTGATTGAAGTATTGCACTTAATCGGTCATAATTGAGAAAATACTGCCACGGGGTTTTGATCGAAAATTGTTGGATATTTCATTTGATCTATAGTAAAATGGGTCGACTATTTTCAATAATTTTGTATTAAGAATTTTCGCTTTCATAACAGGACGACGTCCCGTTCACAAAGGTCGGTCTCCCACTCTTTCTCATCCAACCAGAACCTACTTTCGGCTGGGAAAATCTAGGGGATCACTAAGAATTTCGACTATCACACGGGACAGCTGTGACACCGGGAGTGACACACAAATATCGACCCACCCCTGAGGCATTCAATATTAAGATCGGTTGCTTTATGATTTTTTTTGTATTCAGTTTTCGAACAAGGGCCAGATGTCAAACACCCACAAAGTTTTTTGGTCGGTGGTGATTTTTGTAAGCCGACATGGGGATTGGAAGGCAAACTTCATCCGAATGAGAATTGGGATCAGAGGGACGTTAAGTACACCGCAGCAGTGGGGACGATGAGAGTGGGGAGGGATAAATTCACGGTCGAATCCACGTGACGCCCATGGGGTGCACGTGCAGCTCCACAAGTTACCTGAATACCGTGTCCGTGAAGCAAGAGTTGTCTGAAAGTTGAGAATCAATGGATAAGTAAATATAGGCCTAATGCAGTAGGGTCTATGCATCGTTAATTTACGAAAGATAAGCATCATAAAAAAAAAAACCCGGAAAAAATAACACATCAAAACAGAGCGAGTAAAAAAAACCAAAACAAATCAAAACAAAAACAAGGGCCTATTTGGGTACTTTTTATAGGCCTACTCGGATTATATATACATATATATAAACATACACACACATATATATATATATATATATATATATATATATATATATACACGTGAATAGGATATCTTTTGATCATCACCAATATATATATATATATATATATATATATATATATAATATACTCTAAATGACAAATATCACAACATGGCTCTTCGAAGTTCAAATAAATTAATAAACTGCAAAACAAAGCTTTTCCTGAATAGCCCAATCCGATATATGACTAGAATTCTTAACTCTCACATATGATCTGTCTCTGTGGTACCTCTTCCCCCTTTTTACCTCTCTCGGTTTGGGCTCGTCCAATGTTTAATGTTTAATTCCTTTACTTGTATTTTAATGTTTATTTGATGTCTTTTACTTTTTTGGTTTTTTTAATGTATAGGTTTTTAACAATTTTGCGTCACAATTCAGTTATTACTGCTATGAGCAATCTTAAATTACACTTTTTTAAAATAATGTTTTGATATGAGAATAAAAGACCAGAATATACCGTATATATATATATATATATTTATATTTATATATATATTATATATATATACCGTACCGTATATAATAACAGTGAACATGTTCCTATTCGAGCATTTTATAATTTGTTTACGGTGCTACCCAGCATACTTGATTATGTATAGGCCTACTCGATATAATATAATATTGTACTGCGTAAGGGTTTATCAATATTTTCGCAATTATACAAAATCTATTCGATACCCGGCCCTTCCTCCCCTTTGAAAGTGTACATAAAACAAGTTGATTTTGCAAAACCATTCTCCATTATTTTAGTGAAGTCAACTAAAGTAGGTACTGTATATTAGGCCTACTTACATAAAAAAAAAAATATGAGCATTAAGGTAGACATGGGCTGTCTCTTATACACATCTAGATGTGTATAAGAGACAGCTGTTAGCTTGTGCTATCTTGATTTGATCTCCAAAAATGACGAACAAAGTACAATCATCAATCAATCAAACTAATTATTCGAGGAAAAGAACCCAAAATCTATTTCATTTACTCGATAGTTATTTTAGATAAATAGATGGATTGTAAGTTGGATTAAAATATTTAATTAAGATTGTTAATCGATTTAAACTATTTTATATTTTGTACCTTTTATTTGTACAAGAATAAGTATTGACCTTTCCGACTTACTAGACAGGTGCAGAGCGAAAGCTACCGAGTAAGGAAACAACCCCGGAGACGTCATGTGACAGTCAATAACCAATCAATCTGTTGTATTTACCGCCTTGTATTTTTTACTTCACAGTCGCCATTATCGGTAACTCTTGTTGTTAAAGAGTACATCTGGACTACTTTTGACGGTTTTATTCCTCTTTTGTGGATTTTAGTAAGGAAACCCTTTGAAATATAATAGAGTCATGTATGGACTATGACTGCAGCAAATTCTGCAGCGAATGGTGCAAGTTTAGAAGATTGCCACACGAATTTGTTTGCACTGGTAAGTCAGGCCTAATGATAATCACGGCGGAGAATATGTCAGAAATTTTCGTTAAATCCTCATTATTGGACCACTTATTGCGATTAACAATGTGGTTGAATGAGCCCATAGTGTACTATTGGATTGAATATGTCATGGAGATCATTGGGAGTTTTTAATTTTCTAGTTCTATTTGAAAATCGACACTTTACCAATGTAATGTAGAGTAGTTCTTCGAATACCCACCACTCTAGCGTCTTTTTTCACCGTCATTCCCACGAAGCTGTGTCGGGGTCACCGCTCACGCGTGTGCGTATGATGAAAATGTCCAGGATTAATCGTAATTGATACAACTGATTCCATGTACAATAGAGACTATTTCAGTCATTGATTATTGTTTATAATAAAATATCATATTATCTTGATACAAAATTATCTTGTTATTTCTTTTTTAACTTAAATATTGAAAATCTGACCTTTTCAGGCCGACGTGCATGGGATCAAATGGCGTCGATTTAGCTACCAATACCTGTCGGCCGAGCCCGTAGGCCCTCTCGAGGACCCGGTGCTTTTGGCATATTCACAATGCCTGGCGTTAAATATGCTTAGTGCTTGGCGTCGGGTACCGTGTACCAAAGTAAGTAATGAACCAGGAACACCTGGAGGGCAAGACAAGACTGAGCAAGGAGTAACCAAAGAGCTGTGGATCTATTGGTATGGAGATGATCCAAATTTTAGTGAGATCATCCCATCCGAGTTACATTGTAAGTAGTAATAGAATATAAATACTAACACCCTACTATATTATTATTAATTTAGAAATAAAATTGTATGGTTAGGCCTATTCTAGGCCTTATAAATTTAAAATGTATGATATTGATTATTTTGTAAACTAACATTTTATTGCAACATGAATTTAAACATCTGGTTTTCCCCAGATTATTGTTGTGTTATCAGAATAGAAATTTTAGTAAGTTATGCAATAGCCAATCTAAAACACATCAGGTTGAGGCTTGTTGAGTTGACACATACATACATATCACCTTAGTCATTGCTGCAGATAATCCCAATAATTATTTTAATACTTATGATTATTGGTAGATAAAATTATGAACATTGAGGGGAACATTACATTGACTTATTAGTTAGTATTTTACATGGTGGGATGAATGTCAGTGATTTTAAAATATCAATAATAATAATAATAATAATAATAATGGAAGGTCATTGGATTAAATACATATGGAACCCAAACTCAGCTCTTTGAAGGGAGGGGAGAGGTATTCTATAACGTTGCTGTAGCTTATCATTTGGCATTCTAACCCTACCATGCACCCACTTATATTCCTGGGTGCAGATAGAGTACCTTGCTTATGGATACAAGCGGAATGCACAGCGAGGGATTGCAACCCTGACCCTGGAAGTTGGGAAACCGAACTGTTCACGCTGTGCCTAACCACTTTTATTGGCAATATTTTAAAATTTTAAGAATATATTCATACAGACAAGATACAAGATTACAGTTATTTGTCGTGTAATTTTTTTTTTTGTAAAAATTGTAATTTTTTAAAAAGACTACATTAAACACATACTGTAAAGGTATGCTAAATTAGAACAAATTATATTTTGAATATAGATTTAAAAATGATTAAATTACATTAAATTGAAAAAAAGTAAAAGACCATAAATAAAATGGAATATAAATAATACCATAAGAAGAACTATTAAATCTTTTGTAAAATGTTAAAATATACTGTAATCTATAGGTAGTATATAACTATGTATAATAAAGATTGATTTATCAAGCATTCTGTATATTTTGAATATGTCCTGAACAAAAAAAATTTATTTATCAAGCATAATTGTATAATTGGATGTCCTGATCAATAGGAATTACATGAAAGTAAAAAATAATATACATTGTTGGAAATAAATTAACATATATTGCCTTGAAAAAATACAGAAAAAAATGATGATAATACTATAGATTTTAGTTTGTAGGCCTATTCATCTTGAAAGGCAATTTATTACTGTACATAAAATTGGTTGACTTCTTTAATCGGTTATTAACCATTTTGCAGATTGTGGTTTTATGATGGTTGTATCTGGTATTATATGACATCAAGTTCTGGTTTGTGGTTTGGTGATGGAGCACTCAGCTCTATTTATTGCAAGTGCTATTAGTAGTTGGTCATCCCATACAAAATTTGTAGTGAGAATTAGATTACCCCTCTGTCTAGTTATATTTATCAAGACCACCAAGTGTAGGGGTGGTTTTAGATTCCCCAGCTTGCAAAGTGGTTCAAGATTATGTTATGTCTTAGGTACAGGTAGGCCTTGACCCCTGCCTTACACGTGGTAATTATTGTTGAAGCAGTATTTCAGTCAGGTAGAACAGGTAGGCTAAGGGCTCCATACATAAACTTGATATTAGGTTGACGGCCCTTTCCCAGATATTGGACAAATAACCCATGTCTACCTTAATGCTCATATTTTTTTCTCAATCCTCTTGATCATTGATATTAATCTATTAAAATGTAAATGGCCAAAAATAAACCACCTTATATTTTAAAGCATAATTATGGTAATGTATTATTATATGGCGCATTGCTACGACCATATTGAATTTTTATTAACATAGTTTCCATAAACTAGAATTTTGGTCTTTTCGTATTGATTTGAACAAAGAAAGATAGGCTTATATATGAAATAGTATGGCTATTATTCTCATCACCATGGCAGTGTGTTTGATTATATAGTAATTAAATGAATAATAAAATATAGTACTATATGCTTTCAGTTAAATTTTGATTTTGTCAAATTTAGGTGTAAGATAAAATCAAATATGCAGATAGATTAACAAAACAACTTAAAATGTGTGCCTATGTTAAAAGTTAAATGCTTAAAATTCTTTGAAAATTAATAATTCAGAAACATTTGTGATTGCTCAAGTTTTTTTTTCTATAAAATTACAAGTCTGGTTAATAAAATATAATACTGTTACAGATTTACTGTACTCTCTATGCTAAAATTTACAAAAATTTTTCAATCTAGTAGGTTAAAAAAAAGCTTTTAGCTAACATACCACCTTGTTTTCTATTGTGGGAATCTATTCGGCACATTAATGCAACGAATATGGGAAAGATAGTAATTAATTACTGTTAAATAGGAATAATGTATTTTCTTATTCTAATATTTAATAGAGAACTAATTAATATACAATGTAGAGATTTAAAATATTACTTACATAGACAGTGTCTGGTAACTCTAATTAGAGATGCATAGACGAATATTATGTTGTGGACATGTACTGTATGCATATCATCATTGTGTTGTATCTTTGTGTGTATGTGCATATGTATGTTTGGCAATAAACCAAATGTTAGGCCCAGATGCTCACAAAGTTCCGTAGCTTTTCATGTTGTGCTTGAGTCTGAAAGGGCTTTGGTCCACAATAGGGATCAATGTAGGTGCTAATATTAGGGCTGTGAATATTGAACTTTGCATTAGAATTTCCCACCCGAGAGTAACCCTAGATAGACTGAATACAGATGTTTATTTAGTACATGATATATTTTAGTTGTTCTGGATTAAAATATTTTTTTTTACATTGGATAATCAATAGTTTGATAGCAATGACATTGGATAATTTATTAAACAAAAATATTAATCATTATTAAGTAAATCTTTCAAAAAAAAATGTTTGGTGATAGTTAGAATAAAAGTGTGGATGTTGGCACATATCTATCCAACTCATTTATTTTCCCTTAATTATTGTTTTAACTTGAAAATAATCAAAATTGTAGGGCTTGTTATTTGATAATGGCAGATGAGCTAAAAAAAAATGCAAACTTAATTTTGTTTAGGTGAGTGATTATTTGTGGGAGAGGGATTTTTTTTCTGTGGAATAGTTTTACACACATAATTACTAACTGCAGCCACCAAAATGGTGTTAGAGTTCTAAGTAGTTTACTACTACTAGATTTAAGATGTGTGATTTTCAATCCTAAGGTGCTCTGTTTTTTACACCCCTGAGGAGGATTTTAGGTGAGTGATAGTGTGCGAGTGCAATCGCTCAATTCAAATCACAAGCCCTGCAAGCATTTGTCATGTTATCAGTGGTAAGTAAATACCCAATGATATTGTTGTAAATTTTCTAGGAATCTATTAAGTGTACAGCAGTAGGTTATAGTAGGAAGTAGAAAATCAAGGATATTAACATTGAAAAGAGATATAAACCTATTCTGTCTGCTGTAAGCAAAATGATGTAAAAAAAAACCAAAAAAAACCCAGCTTTTTCGAACCCAATACAATAGCTACTACACACTAAATATCTAAGTAACAACCTTGTGCTCCTGACTGTAGTACATATTACATTTGAATTCTGAAAAAAAAACCCAAAAAAAAACCATTGCATAAATATTTTTAAGGTTTTAAAATTACTTTGAACATATTTAATAGGAATGATTTTATCTAGTAACTGTAGAACTGAATTATAAAGGTTTGTATGTGTTCAAACAGTTTTGGAAGTTCCTTGAATGTAATAAATAGGATAGGTGGGACTCTGGACCACCAAGCCATTATTACACCATTATTAATATTAATTTATCTCTGGTTAGCTATTATCTTTCTGTTGGGTTTACTGTAGGTAATGTAAACAATCTCCTGGTCTTCCGACCTTTGTGTTTGCACACACTCTGTCTATTATTTAATAATGTACCTGCTTTTGAGGTCAAGTTTTTCCAATTAATTGAAAGTATTACTGTAGTTATCATTGGTGTGTTAACTCCCGAAATCATATTGCTAATGACTTCATTTATAGTCGTACTATGTGTATAAATAAACCTTGATTAAGTTTTAAAATAATAATGCAATAATATCGTTTTTTGATTATTATCTTTATATGAAAAGAGTAAAAAAGTACTGTCAAATCAAAAATATTAAATTAAACGTTAAAAAGTTCATTGCATTCAACAATTATATTATTGTAAATTCCAGCTGTGTTATTAACCTGATTGTTTATTCTTATAATAATTGTTCATTTTCCTGTTATTACTGATGCTATCATTACTAAAAATCTAAAACATAACTTTTTATGGTAAATGTAAGTTAGATTATCAGTGTACAAAAAAACAAGGTTCTGTAGGAACTAATTTCCTCTGCTATAATGACTTCCTTTGACCTTTGGTGAGGTCAGTGTACAGTATGGCAGTTCCTATGTTATCTTATAGCTCTCTAATCAATAGAATTATTATTTGTCATTTTCAGAAGTAATGTATCACAGCTATTTGGTATCTTGTTGAAGTGTGAACAAGTCTAAACAGCAGTACATATTTTTTTTGTATACAAAACCATTATGCAATGATGCAAGAAAAATATTTGTCCAGAAGAATTGAAAGTAATAATTTTTCCGGTAGTAGTACTTTTATCATAAACCTGTCATATTTATAGTGTAATCCTATTACCGCCAGTACCTTATACATATTTACACAATCCAGAAAGTATGATGTTTTATCACTGTTTGCTTCAGAAATAAAACGTATTTAAAAAGATAGGAGTAAAACATTTGAAAGAAATTAGATGGTTATAATTTAAATAATGACCTATTTTTTCTTGTGAATTCATAGAAAAATTATTGTGTAATAATAATATACCTGTATTCAGTAAAGTACTTTGTTTATCATACATTAACATAATTATTATTAATATGAAAACCTGTGTTGGTGGAGGATTTTTAACGCCATTGGATGTTTGTACTGAAGGCCATGAGGACATAGTAATAATAACATAATGAACCAAACCACAAGAGATAAGACTTAGCTTACTTGATCTTAAATATTGTACTCTTGAACTCGGTTGACAGCAATGAGTATACTGTACTAGAGTAATTGAGGGCGCCTCTACATGTATTCTTGTATACGCACAAGCCTTTTACTATTTTAAAATTAACTTATGTTGTCGTACCAGTAAGTTAAATGCCAACTTTAGAGTGTGGAGAAGATCATATAAAAAATATTTTATTCATTATTCCTTTTACGAAAGTTTGCAAAATGTTCTACAAATTCTCGCACCAAGTTTGCATAAAATTTCCCCTTGGTAAAATACATCAAAGCTATATTTAATGAGCTTGAGGACAAATAAACAGGCGATTTTCCTCGAGCATTTTCATAATCAAATCTATTAAGATAGTGCTCTTGCAGCTTCAGAACAATAAATTTCTTCTGCTGTCCTCTAGTTATGGTAAATATAAAGAGTAAACATTAAAATGCTAAGTGCTGTTCTATACCATAACCCAATTCTCTTATAATTGAGTTCATATTTAAATAAAAGGAGTAGGCCTAAATATTTTTGCTGACAATGACATTAACAATAATTAAATGTAAGCTTTATCTTATAAAATAATTGTTTACAAATTACATATATTTTCTGTGTAGTATTTAATTTTAATAAAATATGAACATTGTACCATGGGATATAGTTTCATGTACCTGATTTAAGCCTATTGGGTTAACTGCTGTACTAAAGATTGGATTGGGAAAGTAAAGCTTAGGGATGGTCTCAAACATATGGAAGTAAATGACATAGTTAAACTCGCAATGTTTACATCTCCACCTGATAGAGGTGCAGTGTGTCTACATCCCTGTTAAATGATAAACTTAACAATTGATGTAAAATTCTACATATTTTCTACATTTTTGTATTCATTTGAAAATTATTTAAAACTATGCTTATTGATAAAACCTAGTGTGATAATGGAATATCCCTCCCGTTACAGTAGTACCTAATCAAGTTTATAAGAACTTGGCATGGTGTAATAACGTTACAAAGTCCCAAGCTTACTAGTGAGTCAACCAATGTAGGTACAGTACAGTACAGTAGGTAGGTAGGTAGTTCTTGGTAAAAACTGTTTATGGCATATTAGGGTAGCCAGTGAGTTGAACCTCAGTGGGGGATTTCCCTATTGACTATTTACAAAGGGTTGTCAATTTACTATCTGCTTGGTTATTATTTGCGTAACAATACGTATCCATGATATTTGTGAATGTCTTTCAGACCTCTGCTGATAACTTTGGCAAAAGTATTAGGTGGTAGATTTACATTTCTGAAGGTTGCATTTTTAAATGTTAAAATTTTGAATTTTATTTGTAAAAAAATTTAAATGGTGTTGGTAAAAAGAAAAATCATTGTACAAAATACTGTGTCAAATTTGGTATAGTATTTAACAGTTAAAAATATAAATGGGGTGATATGAAAAATGAACACATGTAAGAGGGGGAGGGAAATCTTTCAAATGAAAGAAGTTTGTGGGCCTATTTTCGTCGTAGGAATATATATTTTCAATTCCATTTCACACCTGGGGTTATAATCTAGGAAGCATTCATATCATCATTGTTTATTTTGTGTGGTAGTTGTTTTTTTTTGTAAATAAATACATTTATTAAATTGTACACATATGCATTAACATTAATTACAATTTAGAACAGAACAGAATTAAAATATTGGGTAGCTATTCTTATATTCACCACGGATATTTCAAACAGTTACAGGTACAGGTATGTATTAATCCATAGATATGATGATGAGCAACTGTTTGTCATGTTATCTTCTCTTGTTTATTGCCTTGCATGTCACTAGATAAAGTTTCTCCCAAAAGAGCTTATATGAATAGATACTTGTGAAGAGTAATGTTGATGAAATTGTTGATATTGTTGGTGGAAGGTTAAAAATGTTATCTGAAAGAATGATTGTTAACTTTAATTCAATTTAAATGAGATTGATATATTGTCGGACCTAAACATTTTGAAGCATGTGATTTTGTTGTCGCACATAAAAATAGAATTAAGTAAATTTTATTTATTATTTCAATCCTCTTAATTATTTACAATAGCTGCTTTTGTTTTTTTTTCTTTCTATGATACTAACAACAATTTTTCCAAACATCAGCGACGTTCTTGCTGTTTTAGATAATTTTCATTAAAAAAATTTGCTACAATTATCAACATTCAATTAAAAAATAATAATTAAAAAGGGAAAAAAAGGACAAAAAAAAGAAATTATTTGTGAAGTTGTTATTGTTCCACTGTCAATCACATGGAAGTTGCAAAATTTTACTGACACTCTATGTATAGAAATAGAGTGGAAATTACTACCACTGACTGGATGCTAATCACATAAAAAAAAACCCAACCAGTACACAGACTAAGTAATAAATATATGATAAAGAATGAAACAGTGGCATGCTGACAATCATGGGGCTCTCAAGTCAAAAATAATATTTTTTGGGGGTACTCAGTTTTTCTATTATGGACTTTATCTTCTCCTCCCATAGAATAATTAAAAATCACCAGTGTTAATTTTGAAATATGCTTTGCTAATTGATCCATTTGCATCTGTGTAAAATTACAATTTAATACCCAATTCGATCAGGCAAAACTAAAGAAAATATACTGCTCATTTGAATTCGATGTTAAAGCTACGAAATTAAATACTTGTTGGTTACTAAATTTGTTAATTAACTTTTTAAAATATTTAATTCAAAATGATTTACCAAGATAATCTTTTAAGATCGTGAAGTACTGTGCTGGAATTGTGTGATAATTTACTGATCAGCTATCTTATGTTGTCTTAGTTTAAGTCAGTTTGATTGTAGAAATTTATAGCTCAAACGTTTGCCTGTTAATATAGCATATTAGTATTCGAATACAGTAGCCTACAAGTCTACACTCTACCTTGAATCGCCATTTAAACAACGGTATGTAATATCGCTCCGATATATCTGCATTCACTAACATATGAATAGCTAATGTGGCGATGTTGCATCAATGAGTAAGGATTAATCTATCCAAGATCAAGCCTCTCTCAGAAACCAATAAACATCAATAGGTGACAGGCAATGTACAGGTATTAATTCTAGCTCGCTAGTCAGTATAAGAGATGCCACATGAATAATGCATGATAATCAACTAACTACTAGCTCATTGCCAAGCACTACATTGAATAAATAATAATAACTGAAAATATGTTTAATTTCATGATTGCAATATTCCTGCAGAGCGAATAATATGAAAGCGTTTATGAATATTAACATTCACACTCATTATTAGTTGTAATCTAATTTTTGTGACAAGGATGTGATAAGAGAATATAAATTTACTGGTGGAATGTGAAAAAGTCTCAATACAGTAAATGCACTGTAATTGTAAAATAAAAATGTCTTGCTTAAAAAAATTGTGACCTTTGAACCACATTACTTGGAATAATTTTGGTATTCATTGCTTGAATAGTGGGTGTAGCAAATATTGTACAGTACACTGTCATGTGATTTAAGGTAGTACATTGAGCCTATTGTCTGGGATTTTGTAGTTTGTGTGATAGGGTACCCATTCAGTTTTGAATCGATGAAGATCAGTTATTTAGGGTTGAGGACCAGTTGATTAGGGTTCAGGACCAGTTTTTTACGCTCGAGGACCAGTTATCTACAACTTAGAACCAGTTGTCTGTAATTTAGTTTGAACCAGTAGTCTAGGTTGAGGATAAGCTATCCAGGATGTGGGATCATTTCCCAGGGAGAGAAAGCAAAGTGGTACCACTTGTACAATATTGTAGCTTAATACAAATTAGTTGTATTTTAATCAGTTGTCTGAAGATGGCGAATTGCTATCAGAGTGTGTTGAATCCAAATGTATTAAATCAGTGCTCCAAATGTAGTAAATCGGTCATCCAAAATGTAGTAAATCCGTCATCAAAATTTATTAAATGAAGGATGAGGAGGGAAATTTCCCGATCGGTTTAATTCAGGAATGATTGTTCTGTTGTTAACCATCAGCTGCTAAAAATAGACTACATGTCTCCTTTATATAACTCTAAATAATTTTGCTGGTAACCCAAATTATTATTATTACTGTACCATTATTCTAAAATATATTTCCATGAATTGAGTTCACATGGAAAATTAAAATACTGTGTTTATTCAAATAAATGCTGAGGAAGGCGTATATGTTTAATTTTTAAATTTTGAAAATAAAAGCCCCTTAATTTTACTGTAAACGTGGAACTACATACAACACATAATTACCATAAAAATGTGTTATTTCGTGATCATAAAGACTTATTGATCCCAACCAGGTTAGAAGAAATATAATTTTACTGAAGTAGAACATTTATAGCATGTGTTCAGAATACTTCCATTAGTTTTGTTTACAGTCATTTAGGGTGACATTTACTTGGGTAAAATTAAATGGGTAAAATCAAGGAGGCGTTTATTCCAAATGAGGCTCGGGAGGGTAAATATTCGGGGGAGTGGGGTGGAGGGAGGAGAATTAATTAAACGCAGGGCATTTATTCGAGTAAGTATGGTATAACTGTACCTAAAGGTCAAGCTTTCAATACCATGACCTGTGCATATTTTTGAAGTTACAATGTATCTAAAACTGTATGATTTCTGTTTATCTTTTTAGTCGAAGAGAAGAAAAATTGGGATGACGGGTTGTCATACGAGTGTCGGACATTGCTGTTCAAAGCATTACACAACCTTATTGAGAGGTAACAACAAATATTTATTTATCTTCTTCAACTTTCTTTTACGAGGGTAACTCTTACAGCAAAACTGAATTAATGAGAACCTTGTAACATGCACACAACATAGGAAGTTAAACATGAACAAAATACATTATTCATTAATTAGTTTTCAGTTAACAAAGCAATCAAATTTATGTGCTTGACAAAGTAAAACCATGTTTGATTCAGTTATAAAAATATAAAATATTTATATACCAAGACTGATTCATCTTTATATTTGTTAATACTATAACAACTTCAATAAAATGTTCTCTATCAATCATAATAATTCTAGGTAACAAGTGAACAACTGTAGAGACCTACTGTAAACAAAATGAAATATTTACTAAAGTCATAGTACAAAGGAGGTATACTGTACTGTAGGTGCTAGTGAACAGATGGTCATGGTATGCTCAAGTCTGTCATGAGTAATTGGATTGTGGATTCTTGGTTAACAATAATAATAGTAATAATAAATATTAAAATGCTAAAAATAATGGTTGGTCTTTAGTTTGGCTTCCATAAAATTGCTACACTCTCTCTAAATACTTTTCATTGGGATGGCAGCTGTCCCCGATGCAATTTTGATCGACCAATAATTAGCATCGCCAAAAACTGCCGGCGAGGGCATATGTAGCGATCTTGTTCCGTTCTGTCATCTACTCTCCTAATGTTAATTGTATACTTATTACACTAATTATCTTGACTGAAAAGTAAACCAACAAGATCTAGGCCTACCTGTTTGGTTTATATTGATTGTACTAAAAAAATGTAAGGTAAGAGAAGGAAAGAATGGCAAACTTGGTAAGTTATTTCAAAGGTGAGAGAATGTCAAGGGTTTATTGTCTGTGCTCTCAACCTTGAACATTCCATTGCAAGTTGCTCACTCTACAGATCCATGCCAGTACAGTACCACATTTATAGCCAAATCAACAGTATAGCCAATGAATGACCTTGAAAATAGAGCTTGTTTAAAGTGTTACAGATCAAAGGGTAATGGAGATTATAGATTCTGCTGTAGGACATTAGGTCATCTGGACGATGATGAAGAACCTACTACAACTGTGAGGTGACAGGACAACCAATTAGGCCAAATTAAATCAGTTACTAGTTTCAATTTCCCGCCCTCACCATATTTTGGAGCCTCATGAAAAACTATTTGCTATAACAAAGAAAACATGGAAAATAAAAATAATGGTGATCTGAAAGATTGTTGCCAGAGCCTAAAAAAGAGGTGGAAACATAAATAACAGAATAATGTACATAAATACATTAGAAATTTATTTTACTTCTTTTATAAAAAATAGTTTTTATTTATTAGACAGTTTACCACTAGTAAAGTATAAAGGATAGTAAAATATCAAATAATAAATATCTTTGCCAAAATTTATTTTCAAATCTTGGACATGAAACTAACAATTAATTTTATTTGGCCTTAGCTGTTTAAAAAAATTTCAATCATTTAGGCTTGCCACTTAATCATTATCAGGGTTCTTACCAGCATTTTTGAGTGGTGGGCAGTGACCATGCCCACCCCAGGGGTTAATCAACAAGTCCCTACTCTAGTAGTCTTGTAATGAAAGTATTTTGTTAGCCTACGTTTTTTTTTTCCCACTATAAATTGCAAAAATATTGGTGTTGGACGGGCCCGACCACCGCCGACCAGCGTGGTGAGAACCCTGCCTAATCATATTAGTTTTATCTGATTTGTTAACAAAATCATAGGAAAAGCATAAATACTGTTGAATACAATTTCAAAGTCAATAATAATCTATAATCTCTGCACTTATCAATAACACCGTATGAAGGTGTGGTTACGTATTAATTTTTTGATAGATAGCATTTCTAAAATATTTCCAAATCTGTTCTGTTTACATTCTAAATAACAATAACAATTTAAGTTTAAATTTTATAATAAAGGATTTCATCTGTTATAAAGAATTCAGAATGTTTATGGTTTGGATATCATTTGATATTAGTATGAATAAATCTGCCTAATAATGCCAACACCTTCCCAATTTGGCTCCTCGATTCAGCTCTTGTTTGGTTTGTCCTGGCATCAGAGACTAGGCACCATGCTGTGTCTACATCTGGCTAATTTCTGACCTTCTGTTATCTATTTAAGGTAAAGCGCATTTCACCAGTAAAGCGCAACCACAATATACTATATTGTTTGTTCACTACTGCAGTGATGGTAATCTTTCTGTGGTGCAACATGCTTGTACATGAACTGGTGTGGTTCTTGTTACATCGTGTGTGGCCCATGCAAATATTTTTGAATGTTTATTTGGAATTAAGGATTTTCTTTCTGATAATACAACCCACTTCTGTAGCAATTCTGAAGTAAACTATAGGCCTAATCTCTGCTGGTGTTTGATAAATTGAGACGGCATCAAAAAATGCTACAGTACTCTGCGGTATTGCTCATTATCAACTAAGTTAATGTCGCTTAATATTTATGATAATGTAATTTGATATTTATATATTGTAACTAATAATTTCCTCTCATTCTAGGAACCTCTTGGGCCAAAACTTTGTGCGCATCGGGAAATGGTTTGTGAGGCCATATGAGAACAACTCGATGAATGACAGTGTCACGTAAGTTTACAAAAAAAGAAAAAAAATAATTAAAATTGTAGTGAACTTGTATGAAGTGGTGTGTCACCATCCAAACTTTAGAGAGTATTAACTATTTTCAAGGGGAGAAAATGAGTCACTACAATAACATGGTTTTGTCTTCAGGGCTTTCAAAGCAGAATGATTTTTATTGCATCATTAATGATAGGAGATGTTGGTATGCAGGCATGCCTGTTTATTGTTCCTCCTTTAGGTTTCATAGCAAAATAAGTGTAAAGTTTTTTTATGTATTAGAGGGATCTAGAACATGAACAGTCATTAAAAATAAAATGCAATGAAAAAGGAGGATAGCAGATATCGCACACTTTGCAGGGTTGTACAGTAGCTTTCCCAGAAAAATATGCGTTACAAGTTTTTTTTCATGCATCGAAGGGATCTAGAACACAAAACACTCATTAAAAAATTAAAAAAAAATAAAATGAAAAAATAAAAGGACAGTAAATTTCAAACACTGCAGGGTTGTATAGGTACCGTAGCTTTCATAGAAGAATAAATGTTTTTTTTTATAATCAAAGGGATATAGAACACAAACACTCATTAAAAATAAAATACCAAAAAGAGAAATGAGGAAGCTGCAGATTTCAAAAACTTTGCAGGGGTCTGCAGTATCTTTCATAGAAAAATAAAGGTTACAAGTTTTTTTAGAACGCAAACACATTAATAAAAATAGAATGGAGGCTGCAGATTTAAAACACTATGCACCTTAATTTGCTTAAATTATTATAATACAAATTCTATAAAATTCAGATCAAGTAAATTCTGTTGTTAGTCTTATAAATTGCATTTTGTATATAAAACTACGTAATTGTAAATGTGAGGTTATAATATAATCTGTTATCTATGTTAATTATATCATTCCTGTAAATTAAAGTCTTCAAAAGTAGCTACTTGTTATAATAAAGATTTATTGAATCTTATGATCTTAGTATTCCTTATTTGAAGTACCTATGAAAGGTCATCACTGCAACAATATAAAATCATAAAGCTTCTATAACAAGAAGCCATTGCATCATAGTATATGGCTGATTCCCAGTCAGATCACTGATATCAGCTGGACTCAAGAAGGAATTACACACACTTTACGTTAACCTCTGATCTCAACAATAATACCAATTGAGTCATGTTTATATTGCCAATAGCATTGCAGTCAGTAGCACCAGCCTCTTTGTATTTTAAAACTAGTTAGTTACAATTGCTTTTCAATGCAAAAGGGAAATAATAATGTGGAGATTTTTCTTTTCTTTTTTTTTTTGTTGTGGTTTGATGTGGTTTGAGAGATGTAGACTTGGTAATTCTGTTTTATAATAAATAAATGTAAAATGCAGAATGCAGTAAATGAAATATGTGAGCATTTGGATGTATACTATACACACACACACACACGCGTGCACAAAACAATAATTAACAATTGAATATACTGTTGTAGAGTTTGAATTCTGTTTTAATAAGAAACATTTTTTTAAATATGTGCATTTCCATTTGATGTCTTTTAGTGCATACCGTATGGTACAGTAGCAATGAAGAATGACTAATGACTAATTTATCAAATTCTGTGAAATTCTCTCTTTTGTAACATAATTAAATATTCTTCATTGGCAATATTCACATTGAGTTGCTAGACTACAGGGTCATTATGAAGTGTAGAAGCAGTAGCATGGTGATATTATTATTATTAGCAAGTATTTAACAAAGGTTAATTTTTCTCAATTTGGTAAATTCTTTTGCTTGCATAAGACATGAAATATAAGTTAAAATAGAATAATTTAACATTCCTTATATAGAATTTAATTTCAGGGGAAGTTAATAGAAATAGAAATAAAATACATTTAAACTGATTAGAAATATAGATTTTTTTTTTTGTCATGAAGAGTGAATCTCGATGTCATTTGAATAGGTTTCTGTAACCTTGATATCCTTTTCTCAGAAATATTTTGTGTTTCAATTCAGTGTGTTTTGAAATTATCTATTTGGATGCTATCAGGCACAAGTGTTATTAGTTCTAACATTTAAATTTCAACCTCTTTCTGTCAACCTATGTAATATGATTATGTTTCCATGGCAATAGTGACATCATTGTATGATATTATGTGATGTCATACTTATCAACAATCCATTTGGCATATGGTTTGTTTGCTGACCTATGTGAAAATAGTAATTTCATAGTGTTAATAATTCCTTTGATAGTATGTCTGTTGAATATTCCACTAAAGTATTGTACTTTTGTTAGGTATTGTAATTTTGTTATTTGTTAATTATTAGATAATCTTAAATTTCCTATCTACATATTATATGATAATATAATGATTTCATTTACATTAAGATTGAAATTAACTTAAAATATCAGAGGATGAAATTTAAATATGATGCATGCATTATTATTGTCTGATAGACTCAATATTAGATATAGTTCATCAGAGTTTTGTCTGATAAAGCATTCTTTCAGATATCTGATCAAACAAACCATGTGTCTTCATGCTGCTCTATTTCATTAGACTTGGCCAGGTGTAGACTGCATTGGCCAATGGTTTTCAGTCAGTTGATGAATCCATCTCTTCAAGGTGCTATAGCTTTTTGATGTGATGCCATTTGCTGATTGTTGGTGGCAGTTTATAGCGGTCTTTGTGGATTTTTTGTTTAAACGATTTGTCACACGAGCATCCTCGTATTCCGGTCATCGTGGGAAATCCATCGGCTAAAGGTTGGCTGGCGTAGTGTGCATCAAACGAAACATTTCCCATTTGAGTCTGATTTGGGCAAACATCACCTGTCAGGTTTGATAAGTTTCAGTTCTGCTTTAGGATACTGGCATGATTTTTATTCTTGAGAATGAGTTAGATTTGAATCAAAGTTCATGGATTAGAAAGTACCCCTTAACCATCCAACTATAACTGATGCCGATTAAGTTCTAGAAATTTTAAGTTGTCTGATTCCAATGAGAGATGTTGCAAAAGATAGAAATAAGTGGTATGATCTGTTTTAGTTTAGTTTTGTTAACTGTATACAAACAGGACTTAACAGAAAGTGTACAGTAAATTGTATTCAGTTATACTAAAGTTTTTTTGAATAAAAGTTGTTCTATACTGCATTTCTTCAGCTGATGGTTTTCCGCATGATGACCGCAATGTGACAATCCTTGTGTGACAATTCAGTTATGTTATGATTTTACTAATTCCATTTACTTAGTTTATTGACTAATTATAGAATATTTTGTTATGTTGGTTAAGTATCCACTACAGTAAACCAGAACCAGAGAATATAATACAGATTTTTTTCCATTTAAGACATGATAAGAGTTTATTACGTTTTACAAATTGATCTGAAACACGACAGCTCTATGTCAAAGTAAACTGAAGATCATAACATTTTAGAGACTACTTTTAGTTCATGAGCCCTTAATGTGCAGTACAGAATGTTTTTTTTAAAGTTCAGTATAATTTTATATAGTTAGAAAGATAAGATAGGCCATGTGAAAAGTAAACAATTTAGGTTGCGTAATCCACTAGTCTGAAGTCAACATTATTGTTATTTCAAAGATAAATGTGATTTGATAAATGTGATTTGATAAATGTTTCACATGGGTTCAAAGTAAAGAGTATCTGGGAAAATTGACTTGCACAATCGTTAGTAAATTTTCTTCTGTATTACTGTTAATTTTATAGATCAGTGTTACATTTGAAGCATATGTACTTAATGAGCATTAATTCTATTAATTTATACAAATTAACTTAAAAACTTAAGGTCGTATTTTATGACATGACAGGTGTTGCTTTAGTATGATATACTATTAATGCATCTTTAGTGTTTGCACCATCACACTGGAAAAGCAAGTGCAGTTGAAACTTATAATAATACAAAAGGAATTTTAAAGATTTTTTAAAGTAGTTAAGCTTTCTTTAATATAATCGTTAACCATTTTGAGTTCATAAGGGTGAGTGGTCAAGTTATGGTTATTCTGATTCCAATAGTCAAGAAATGGATAGCATTTAGGTCAAGTAGTGATGAAAAAACACTCCCTGATGAGAATATCCTAAATAGTTAGGGACCATCTATCAAAATTTATTGAATAAATTTGTGTTATAATTCCTTGAATGATAATGTCTAAGCAAATGTGGAATATCTTTTTTTTTTCAATTACACATTTAATATTATCTTGCTTATAGCAACTTACGATAAAAAGAGAGCATTTGGAATGTTGTATTATTTCATCCACATGTCCTAATGTACATTTATGCTTATTAGGCCCAATAAAAATAATTATTAGTTTATCACCATATCTGGACTGGAAAAGTGATGAGGGAGGAAGGCTTTTTTTTTCTAAAGCTATATCACCCTTAGGTTGTTTTGCTGGTGCATTGATATTCAAAGTAAAATACATGATTGAGATAATACAATATTTACTAGAAATATGAATAATAAATAAAAACTCCCATCCCTCCCCCCACCCCCCCAATTTTTTTCCCCAATTCTATAGAAGGCATGTGTGCGAGAGTGATAACTATTTTTTTTTTTAATTGGGCCTTATTTCTGTGTTTGCAATGATACAAATCTAATAATTTATTCTATGTGGGGTTTTACTGTATGATGCTAAGTGACTGGAAAGATCAATTGATAATACATACCACCTCCTCCTCCTCCAATACATTAATCCTAATTAATCAAATCGCTTGTATCACCTTACAACATGAATAATAAAACTCAATATTCCATAAAGTATATTTTCAGAAAGTATACATCAAATCAAGGAGAGGCAGCAGAGTGAACTTAAACCAATCTTGATAATTTTATTAGTTTATTTTTAAATTGTTAAGTTCAGGTTAAGTCTTATGGTAAAATTCTTTCAATTAAATTTTTAAAAACCATTCGAATTACTTACTACACATTTAAAAAATCAAGCAGTTTATCATCTTTCAATTAGATAGTATAAATCATAAACATTATATTTCTGTTTGATTACCAGTCAA